AAGGATGTTCCCAGGGTCCAACAGAGATCAGCTGCTCAGTCCATTCCCAGCCAGGTCCCAGGTCTCCCAGGCCACTCCTCTGATATCTGATCTTGGTGACAGGATCTACTTTCTGTTCTACAAAGATAAACTCACTGTGAGGGCCAAGAAGGGACTGGAATGCTGGTGACATCCCCTCTGCCCCAAACATCTCCCAGTCCAGTCCTACAGCAGCTTCTCAGACCAGAGGCTACCAGTGACCACTAAAACACAGCACCCCACACCTGTCAGGTGGTGTAGAGGTACAGAGGCCACACGCCCAGCCTTCTGCCCCCTCACAGCCACAGGCATGTGTTGAATGCCCCTTCAGTGGAACCTCCATACTACCAGGGATGGTTTCAATAAATACCCTGCAGCCTGCAGGAACAGGTAGGCCATTGGGACAGTAAGTGTAAAGTATAAGCCTCTGTGGGGACCCTAGCGTGGGGGCAGCCCAGATCTAGAATGAGTCCCATCTCTGACACTGACTAGGAGTGACCGAACCCAGGGCCACACACTCCAGTGTATTTCTGCTCTGGGGGACCATCCTTTCTTTACCGTTTTGAAATGTCATCACAAAGCACAAGTTCATATTCAGGGCAGGGGCATCTGCTCTAAGCCCTTTCTCCTGCTCTCTTAGGGTTCTTGAAGCTGGTGAGGAAGGACTAGGGGGAGACTGCCATGAAATACAGAGCCTTATCCTTCTAAATAGGCCAGCACCTTCCTTCCTACTAACTAACCACGGTGGCCAAGTCTTCTGATTTTCCACAGAAAGTAAGTATGTAAAGTTTTTGGGTGAGATCCCTTGACCAGTCAATGCTGGCAACTAATTCAATACTTCTCGCCACCCCACCGCTACTGCAGCAGGTGGTTGAGGCTCGCTGGCTGGGTGTTCCACCTCTGCCCAGGCAGGCACAAACTTCCGTCTCTAGCCTTGATTTACCTTCTTCTGAAATGTGTTCATGTTTCCACCTCACAGAGCCCTGAGAATACAATGAAATGATTAAGGCAAGGAGAAGCAAATGTTCTTGGGTTTTCTGCTTTCTGAGCCAACCTACCCTCATCCTGCAGGATGGCCCTGCATTCTCTTCACTAACACCTTGGAGAATCTAAACACACCTGAATTGATGTGGACTTCTGAATAGAACTTTCTGAACTTTCTCCTTCATTACTGAGGGCCCATTTTCACAGTTTTGCCACTAGATAGTGAAGAAGAAAAGGGTTGTGTGGCCCTAGGGCATCTCCTGGGAATTCAGCTTCAGTAATCCAATGATCTGGGCTCCGAATCCAGAGGAAGGGCTCTAGCCTGGTTCTAAGAGTGATAGAAAGGGCCAGCCTGTGGTTTTGTGGTTAAGGCAGATGGCTCTCACATGTCTGACTCTGGTTCAAATCCCAGCACTGGTGGAACATCTTGGTGCCTGTCTATAAGCCCTGTGGGATGGGGAAATGGAGAAGGGATTGTAGTGTGAACATAGCTATGCCTATGTCTTCTATCAAAAAAGAAAAAAAAAGTACAATACTGATTTATTTGGAGGGGAGCAGAAAAGTGCAACTATTATATATACTTTTAAAAAACTACGAGATGGGGACAAGCAGTTGGCATAATGGCTATGTTCCTGGACTCCCACATAGTTGACTGCAGTTTGAGTCCCAGATCGGTGGCTTAAACTCATGCCAGGCGCGTGTGTGTGCATGCCCAAGATTCTGAGAGGAGAATGGAGCACAAGGGACCTGGGGGTGATTTCTCACTTTCTGTCTCCTCTGTCTCTCTCTGTCTTTCTGGTGAGCACACATGCCCTGCAGCAAAAACCTCTCTAAAAAAATAAAAAAATATAAAGCTGTGAGACCACCATGAACTGAGCTGATCACAAAACCTGGCCTGTTCAGGCGCTCCCTGGCTAGATCAGGGCGGGCCATGCAGGAAACATCTCCCACATCCCCCAGGGAGTTCAGACCTGGGCCTCTTGTGCTACCTCCATGTGACTCCTCTCCCCAGATGTGACCCTAGCTCTGCAGGTGTGGCTGGAATAGCCCCATGAAGTCTAGGGTGTCCGAGGGAGGGGCATGACCTCCTCAGTGCAGGCAGAATCCAGGCTAAGGGAGGAGAGAGCAGCTGCAAACTCTAGGGAGTGGCGAATGCTGACCTAGAACCTTCTTCAGGGCTCATTAAGGAGCATGTGTACCACATACGGTATTCACCTGTGTGTAGCTTTAATCACACACTTTAAAATGTTTTCTTTTTCTTTCTTTCTTTCCTTTTTTTGAGAGGTTTTTGTTTTAGGGCATGTGTGCTCATCAGATAGAGACAGAGAGATAGAAAGCAATAAATCACCCCCCAGGAGGGATGGCCACACTGCAATCCCTTCTCCTTTCTCCTCTCGGAATCTTGGACACGCACTGGGTCCAGGACTCAAAACACGGACAACTACATGCGAGTCCAGCAGCATAACTGTTAACCATCCACATGTCCCTAATCACACATTTTAAATACGTTCACAGAATGTAAGCCCCCTTTGTCTTCTTACTGAAGGCTCCTAAAGTAATAGAACATGGACAACCCCAGACCAATGCCATCACATCTCGCCTGGGCCCCAAGACCTTCTCCTGTCAGATCTCTCTGCTCCTCCACCTGACCTTGACATCCCAGTGTGAGTAGCCAGAGGGAATTCCTAAAGCCTGGGTCACACCTCATATCTGTCTGCTTCACATACTTATGTCAGACCAATCTCCTTACCTAGGACTATGGAGCTCTCCCAGCCACTTCCATCCCACTGGGCACCATTCACTGCTGGAGCCGCATGCCCCAGTTCTGGCAGGAGCACTGTAACCCTCCCCTTCTTTGTTTACTTCCTTGAACACACTCAACTCTTTACTGGCCAGGACCTGTGTCCTCCTTCAATCCTCTGCCTTCCCCAGCATTTCCTTTGGCTATTTCCTCCCTCTCACCTTTTAGGTGTAGGTTTAAAGGCATTAGAGAGGCCTCCCTGATGAGCCAGTGTGCAGCAGCCCCTCCACTGTCACTGTATCCCCCTTCATCCTATTTCTCTCCCTGCACGACACTTACTTCAGAGGGCAACAGCCCTTCCTGCAAAGGGCCAGGTGGTCTCTCTGCAGCTGTTAGTTCTATAAGGTGTTCAAATCAGTCACACAAGGAGGTGTGTCTGTGATCCCATCACAGCTTATGTACAAATGTAGGTGGGGGCCAGCTTTGGCTGGTGGGTCACTGCTTGGCCACCCTGACCTGACTTACACTGTCTGGCTGTTTTCTCATTGTTCAGGGCTCTACTTTGCTGCTTCTACTCACAGTGGTTGCCTCCATGCTTGGCACAGCCTAGGTATAGAGGAGACACAGCATCTGTTCAGTACACAAGTGGGTAAACGTAACATGGTGACTGCATTGCTCTACAAAGCCCTGCTCAGTCACTGGGTTTCTAGTTTCTTTTCTTTTAGCACTTTCTTCCACCTGGCAATTTGGCTTCCCCTTTCTCATCAGAAAGATGACTAAACATGGGCAAGTTGAATTGAAGCCTCCCCATAATCTGATAAAGCCAGTTAGAACATGGAGAGGGGATGTGGCTTCTCACAGGTGGCAGGACACAGACTGCATGGCTGGGACAGCAACTCTGAATGTGCACATGCAGCCTCCTTATGAGGAATTTTTAATTCTGGGCAAATTCTCAAGTTGGTCTAATTTCCCACAATTTTTCTAGGAATTTCTTTCACTCCTAATCTTAGGCAAAACAAATACTTTTTAAAATCTCTTACAGAAAATCTGATTACAAGGAAATAAAAAAATTACAAAATCCAACTTCTCAAACCTACTGAGAGTTACTTCGAATTGTGACTTCTCAAGAATTGAATTTGCAAAAAAAAATAAAAATAGGTGCCCATGAGAAATCTAATAGAACCCTCCCTTGCTGACTGACATCGCCACACTTTTCTTCCCATTCAAACGTCCATTTGCCAAGTGTCCATGGGTGATTACCACTGAAAGAGCAGGAAAACTCCACCTGGTCCTATGGACTTTTCCATCTGACAGTGCATTTGTATCCTTTGTGAAACAGTCTCTAATAAGCCAGTAAAAATTAGTATTTCCCTGAGTTCTATGACCTAATCAAACACCTAAAGAGAGTCATGGAAACCAAAATTTACAGATGGTCAAATAAAGTATAGGCACCAATTTATCACCAGCGATTGGTCTCCGATGTGGGAGGCAGTCATGTGGGGTGGAGCCCTCTCCCGAGTGATCTGAGGTAGATACTGTCAGAATTAAATAGACTGAGAGGACACCCAGCCAGTGTCCATGAAGAATCACCTGCTGAAGACAAAATATCTTCACACCCAATTTGGTAACCAGAGCTCACCAAAGTGATCTGTGGAAGAACAGAGTAGGAAGAACTGACGTGTTTTATTATTTTTTTTTCCTCTGAAAAGTAAATAGACTTTTTGTTACATTTCTCCATGTTCATGTTTGAAAATGCCTTTCTCTCTGATCATCACTGTTTCTGGTATGAATTCTGCCTAGAGCTTGGCTGAGGTGAGCGGATACATGAGAAAGGGACTAGACACCTAAACCTTCTCATATCTTGCTACTGTTGAGCAAATCCCTAAATCCACTGCTACAAGCGACACCCCTGTGAAGCTACATCAGGCTTCTTCAATTTCTAATTTCCTGTGTGAATTGCACCATTTTGTTGAGCTTAGAACACTCTTGAGTGAGCAACTAGGTTATAGCTTCTGAACAGAAACTATGTCCTGAAGGCCCTGAGGAAGGCCTATGAGCCCTCCTGACCTGCCCGGTCACTTCTTTCTTTCTCCTACACATGCAGCATGTCTGACTTTGTCTTGTATGATCCTTACCCTGGGGTTCCAAATGTGCTGTCTGTATTGCTGAGGAGAACGTGAGACTTGCTGTGTGCCAGGAGTGTCTTTCTCCTGGGGCAGCCTTAGTAAATTACCACAAACTCATTGGCTTACTGCAACATAAATTTATTTTCTCATATTCTGGACACCAGTATTCAGAAACCAAGATATCAGCAAGGCTTCACATTCTCTAAGGGTTTTCGTCACTGAAGTTACATGGTCTTTCTCTCTTGAATCCACAGATATGGAAGACCTAGGAAAGTGTGGTTACTGCTAGATTTTCACGGTCTTGTGCTTCTGGTTTAAGAAATCCATTCATCATCTGGCTGAATTCCTCTTCAGTCTGAAAGAAAATGTAAATGAAATGTTGAAAAGGGAGAATATTGTTTTGCTAAAGAACTGAGAAGTGGGAACACAGATGTAAGCAACCTTCGCCAACTCACCATGTCACCGAAGGCGTTCATTTCCATTGTGAAGCTTTGTTTTCCTTGGTTGTATTCCAGATTGTGCTGTTCAATAATTTTCATATTTTTCTCCCACACAGATCTCCTCCATTCTTCTTCATTCTAGAGGCAAGAACAAAAGTGATGGTCTCTATTTCTACTTAAAACCAACCCCATGCTCACCAAGTAGATTTGAAGTTAAATATGAAGATAACCATGGCCAAAAATGGCATCACACTTCTGAGAGCTGCTCTCCAAGCTCAGGCACAGCATGGATGGATACTCATATTATGTTTATAATTGGTGCTACTCAATTACTGCCTCGGGAAGAACCAGCCTCTAGAAACTACTCTATGGCTCTAGACTTCAAGCACTAAGGAACATTGTTTCTTAAGTCCCTCTACAGTTTCAGATGTTACCAACCGGAGCATACGTTTTCTTGTATTTTGCCTTCCACTGGGTCCATTGTTCATCTAAACGAGCATCAAGGGTTGGGGCAGTCGAGGCCATTCCCAAGAAAAGGATAGCCAGAAAGAGTAAAAGATTCATATTTCACAATCCTAGACAGAGAAAAGAAACGAGTATACAATTAGATCAATAGTTCTAAAAAAAACATGTTACTCTCCCTGGAGAAACTGAGGTCACTCTGGAGGAATCATGGTATTTAAACTATTTCCCCAAGTATTTACTCAAGAATCCTAGAAGAGCCAAAGGATATAGTTGGAGAAAAACAAGCCAAGGGTAAGTATTTGTTTGTGCCACAAGAATGAAAAATGAAAAACAGCCTGTCCAGAGTCTTAGAACTGCAGCAGGGTATGCAACAACCAAGAATGGGAAAAGTCTGAAAAGGATCTGAGGGGTCCTTGTTCTTCAGGAAACAATTAGAAAACTCTAAACCAGTCAATCCAGATTTTGTAGAAAAGTGTTCAGATCACCTAGGCAAAAACCTAATTAGAAGGACATCTGATCACACATAGGGGCAAAGGATCCCCAATAGTAAAGAGGCCACCTCACACTGTCTCTTTGGCTAAAATATAGCAGGAGGTGAGATATTTTCTGGAATCTCCCTTCTTAAATGGAACCTTTCCGAATGTCTTCCAGGACAAACTAGGAAGGAGAATACCCACAATTCCCAGCAGCTTTCATTAGGACCTGTGCCCCTAACACCCCCACTCACGTCCCAAAACCAGCAGAGTTATGGTGGCTGTACTGCAGGAAGCCAGGTCCCCCAGTGCCTGTTCCCAGACAGAAGCAGGCACCTTTTGGGCTCAAGGCTCATGGACACTGGGGCAGGCCAGACGGGGCGCACCTGTTCCTGCCCTCCCCACAGGTCCAGACAGTGAATGCAGCAGGCATACAGAGATCTAACTGCCCTCCTCACCCAGCTAAGTAGGGAAACCACGTGGCTGGCGACTCCCTAACCTCTGGCATGCCTAAGGCTGGTGGGATAGTTCATTCCAGAGATGGCTCCAAAATCCCCTCTGACTCACAGAAATCTTACCTGATGTGGCCCACCGCTGCAGAGGTACAGATGATAGATACAGAGTACAAGGATCTCCTGTGTCAGCAGCTGCTGCTCAAGGACTGCCTATTCAGCCTTCAGGACCCCTAGAAGTAGCTGGGCCAGCACTGCCACGCCCCTCCCCACCAACTCCCTGAGCTATGATTGGCTGCACCAGCATCTGGGCGGGGCCTCCAGTTATTCTCACTCACGGTAATTGATGTAGCTGGGTCCCAGCCCTCCAGGATAGCAGGGTGTGTGTGAACCGTGCAAGAGGAAGGAGGGTTGATAGCTGGACACCTCTGGGCTGTGCAAGGATAGTCTGGTTCCTCCCTGACACCTTGCACACACTAAGGACTTTCAGGCCTAGTGATTCATAAAAAAGAGTTTGCAGAGTAGCCCATGTGGATTTACAAACACTGCTTTTCCTTTACTCCTAGAATTGTTTAAAATCTACTGAAGGGCCCAAATCCAGTGTACTCTAGTCCAGAGGTCCCTTGTTAATCCACAGCAAAGGTGGTGCCAAGTGGAAGAACGCAGAGCCCAAGGCACAAGTACTGTCTGCCAGCTTCACGTAAGGAAGGAAACTGAGCTTTGAAGAATCAGGAAGAGAAAGGCCATCCCCCAAAATAGGGCACCATGGTCATGGCCCAGGTCCTAGGAGGGAGAAGGACTGCCTGGGTGGGTCCCTGACCTTTTGTCATATGTCCTTCCCTGTCTCCTCCATTCAGAATCCTTCCTTCCCCCAGGTCTTCCTAGAAACAAACAAAATTATGCTATTTACAGAAAGTTTGGCTAATGAACAAGGAAACAGCAGTTGACAACATTGGAGGCTTGACAGCAAAATATAGATATGCTTTTACATCCCCACTCTGTACTTTGCAGATTATGATGCCTTCCTCGGTATCCAAAGTTCTTCTCTTGACATTTGATCATAACGAATGACTTTAGTGACATTTAATGTCATGATTTAAGATATGTATTATGGTAAAACATTTCAAACAGAGGTAAAATATATATCAATATGCACTATGTACTTATTAATTTATATACATAAGGTTTAAGAATTATTTTACTTATTTATTTATTTATTTTAATTTGACCAAGAGCGATAGAGAAAGGTAAAGTGAGAAAGCAAGCTGCCAAGTGCAGGACTCCAACTGCAGCTGGCACTCTGAGAGTCCAGTGCGCCAACTACCACACCACCTGCCAGCCCCTATACTTATAGTTTTAAAGGGAACACAATCCAGAAACTCTAAACTCTAAATCTTTGTCACCTGTGTGTATGTACATACACACACACACACACACACACACACACACACACAAAATACATATACATATATATTTCTGTTTTTCATTCTAAAAAATACCTTTAAGAAAAAAAAAATTCAGGACTTTATTCCTTTCCACAATAAACTTTGTATGTATATTTTTAGTTCCTTGTAAAAAATGAAGACATAGTGTGAGTTTCTTTTTTGTGAACTTATTTCTATTTATGATTACATTGATTACCTCTAGAGGCACACAATGTATGTTTTTACAATATCTACATAATAATGACACTTTACAAATGTTCTAGTGTATAGTTCTATGGCACTAAGTCCATCCACATCAGGTGCAATCATTTCCACATGCATTCCCACAATTTTGTGCCCTCCTAAGCTGAAGCAATGTACCCATTATCCAGTACTTTTCCATCTCCCTCCCCAGCCCTGGAATCCACCATTCTATTTTCTCTTTCTATGAATCTGAGTGCTTCTGTGGTTGAAATGTTTGTTCCTTCTAAAGTCATGTTGAAATGTAATTGCCATGGTAGCAATATGAACACGCGGGACATTACAGAGCTGATCAGACCACCAGGCTCTGCCCTTACTCATGGGTTCTTGTCTATTGTGGGACTGGGAGTGAGTTCCTTAGAAGAATGCATTCAGGCCCCCTATATCTCTGGTTCTCACCAGTCTTACTCCTCTAACACATGATGCTTTTTTGCCATGCTGTAATGTGCACAACATTTGTTGCCATATGCCAGGAAATAATAGATATTGAACTTCCCAACCTCCATAGTCAAGAGCCAAGGAACTTTTGTGCCTTAAATTAATTATTCAGTATGTTGTGATCTATTATAGCAACACAAAATAGACTAACACTCTAGTTACCTCATTAAGTGGAATCACAGAATAGCTGTCCTTTGTTTCTAGCTATCTCACTTAGCATAATGTCTTCAAGCTTCATCCATGCTATAACACATCAGAGCGCCCTTCATTTTTAAATTGAAACTATAATATTCCATTGTATGTGTTTACAAGAGGTCATCAAAAATTTTATGGAAATTATTGCTGAAGAGAGACAGAGCCAGAGAGAGTGAAGAAGTGAGAAATCACCCCCCCAAGGGGGACAGCCACGATTAAATCCCTTCCCTGTTTTCCTCTGGGAGTCTGGACATGCACACACCCATTTCAAGAAGCCGAGTCCAGATTCAAACTACAGTCAGACTTGTGCGATCCATCCATAAACAGTGCACCACCTACTGGCCCTCCTTTTTTAAAAATTTTGCCAGAAGGAATGAACCTTGCTGGAGAGAGACAGAGAAGAGAGAGACAGACAGAAAGAGAAAAAGTAAGAAAGCACTTTCTACAGGGAATACTCTTACAGCAATCTCTTCTAATCCATCTCTCCTTCTTTCAGGATTTTAGACACCCACCCACACATGCCCAACATGTTTCTCAAGTCACCAGGTGTGGGATCAAACTGCACAGTTGACCATGTGTTTACACAATGGCCTGGCCCAGAATTTCAAAAAACATTTTTGCACCAGAATAAACTCATTATGTTAATTCCATTTTTCCATACACTGTGGTCCCCTTGTACCATACTTTGTTTATCTATTCATTCCTTATTGTTTCCACATTCAGCTACAGTTAATAATGCTGCTATCAATGCAAGTATACGAATGCCTGTTCAATTCTGTTTTCAATCCTTTGGGTTATATACTCAAAAGTGAAATTTCTAGATATGATCATTTAATGTTTATTTTTTCCCACATTTTTCACAGTAGATGAAGGTGTTTTACATTACCACGAGCAATGTAGAAAGAGTTCAGATTCTAAATACCTCATCAATCATTTTCTGAAGCATTTTAAATTTTCATGAAATTCATTTTATGTATTCTGTTTTCTGGAGGAAGGGGGACTAGTGTTATATCAAAAAAAAATAATTACTAGTCTCAGGTCGTGAAGTTTTCTCCTATGTTTTTCTCTAAAATGTATAGTTTCAGGTCTTAAGTTTAGATGTATGATCTACTTAATTTGATTTTTGTAAATAGAGCAAAATAAAGGTTTGACTTCATTCTTTTTCATGTAGAGAGTCAAAGTTAGTTAGTGCTCAAATGTAGAAGCTAAGGTTCTCAGTGGATCCTGTAGATTTGATGAAGCTTAGATGTCCTCGGGACCACAGCTACAGATCATATTGAAGAACAACACCACCAGAAAAGGAAGTAGCGATTGCAGAGAGAATAGGCAGGAGTGGGGAGCAAAAGAGAATACACGAAAAACAAGCAAAAGCCGTGAGAGTAGAGATGATGATTAAGCAGAAGTCACAAAGCTTTTATAGAGAAGAATTCTCTGATTCTTGTTTTAGAGAGGAGCACATAGAAAATTGAGAACGTTTAACTGTTTGATTCTATTTCCTGTTTGTGGTATCACATTTTTTAAAAGAATGTTTTATGCATTTTTTTAAATTGACGAATAAATGAAAGTCTTATTTTTAATATTTCTGATTGTCACTGAATTATTGTCACCAGATTTGGAATTTAAAATCTGACCAGGAATTGATCCTAGGAGCAGGGCTTTTGTCTCCTAGAAATAATCAAACAAAGAAACACCTGAGGTTGGGCAACTTCTCATTAGGGTTAAAGCCTAACAAACTTATACCTAAGCTTTATTGCTGTGAACAGTGAATGAAACAATAGACGGATACATTAAATTCCCTGCTTTAAAGACTCACGTAATTTAGTTAATGTATCACTAGATCTTTTCACTGCTTCGTTGTAAAACGTGTCTTTCACAAAGGGATCACGATATGTTTTGCTCAAGATATTTTCAGGAATGTGAGGTTGGCACTTTTTTCAGCCTAAGTTATTCCCACTGGCCTTTCTACTGGGCCTGTGTCAGTGACTGACGGCATCTGGTCAAAGTAGAGGGACAAACGCTGCACCTCCATTCTCCACTCCAGATCGCAAGAAGGTCATCATTTGTTTGAACCAGCGTACGACCCACTGCGCCCGATCACGCTGGCTTCAGCCTGCCTTTCTCCTTTCTCCAGTTCTATTTGCTGTATTCCCAGTTACCTCCTTTATAGTTCCTTAATTTCTTAAAGACTCCTTAACTGCTGGGAGGGGAATTTGAAATGTTTATCTTGCCTGTCCTCACTGGGCCAGCCTTTTAAATAAACTTTTTTTCTGCTACAAATCTCTGAGTCCTAGCAAATTGTGTGTACATCAGGTTAGGAAGCCTGTTCTGACCCATAACACACCAGCTATCACAGCAAGCTGCTGGGGGAGGCAACGGTGGAGGCCCAGCCCAGTCTAGACAGCAGCTCCTGGGTGGTAACAGAGATTCTTTGGCCAAATTTTAGTCATCTTTCTGAATCTTCTGCTAGACCTACCAAGGCCCTCCCTTGTGAAATCTAGTTCTAGCAAAGATCTCAGTTAAGGCAGTTTAGCGAGAACCTCCCACCATCCTGGACAGCTGGGATTCGTGCTCCAGGTCTGATCAGGATCCCACTCTGTGCCTCCCACAGGTGACGTCTGGTCACTCTGGCCTGTGTTAAAGGGGGATAGCTAAAGTTACATTATTCCTGTCAACCTTAAAAGAAGGCTAAGCCAAAGTAAGTGAAATGAAGTGATTTGCTTGAGTTAGGACTTAGAAAGTGTCACCTGAACACACTTCCAAGTGCTCTGAATACTGTGTGCTGCTTCTTACAGATTTCACAGTGGTTTTAAAGGCAAACTTCCTGAATGGGGAGAGAGAAAGAACAGATTCGGTATTCAGAACACCATGAGTAAATAATTCTC